AAAGTAAGCTTTTGATAAATTTATTTATTTATTATTATTTTATTAATTTTATTTCTATACCGCCCTTCTCCCGAAGGACTCAGGGCGGTGTACAGGCTAATTAAAAACACACAGACAGACAAAATTTAAAAATAATTAAAATTATTAAATAATAGGCCCAATTTATAAAACCCCAGATAAACCAGTTTGCACATCTCTTATTCATTGCTCTCAGCAACGTTTCTCTGTGCTCTACACTCTGCTTGTAGGTAACACAACAATAATATCCTTAATAATAATAATAATAATAATAATAATAATAATAATAATAATAATATAATTTTATTTCTATACCGCCCTTCTCCCGAAGGACTCAGGGCAGTGTACAGCCTATTTAAAAACACAAGACAAACATCAATTTAAAATTTAAAATGATTAAATAAATTTGGCTCCGTTTAAAGCCCCAGAAATTTAAAATACCCCAATTTAAAATTATTATGTCGATAGCCCGGCCTGGCGGAACAACAGGGTCTTCAGTGCACAGCGAAACACCCGGAGGTCGGGGATCTTACGTATTTCCGGGGGCAATATCCCCATTTTTTTTTAAGGTCTGGGGGATGTTTGCTGCTGATCCACATCCTTCCCTGCCCAGCGTAGCCCCCGTGAGAATCACAGAACGGCAGGATTGGTCGGGACCTTGGAGGTCTTCTAGTCCAACCCGCTGCTCAAATCAGGAGATCCTATCCCTGGGGGTCTCCCAACATGGCTGCTTTTAAGACTTCCGGACTTCAACTCCCAGAATTCCCCAGCCAGCCGGAATTCTGGGAGTTGAAGTCCCCAAGTCTTAAAAGCGGCCATGTTGGGAGACCCCTGCCCTATACCATTTCAGAAAAATGGCTGTCCAGTTTCTTCTTAAAAACCTCCAGCGATGGAGCGCCCCACAACTTCTGGTGGCAAGCTGTTCCGCTGGTTCATTGTTAAAATTAACTAGTGACTCTTCTGACAGGCTTTCTGGGAAAGGATGGGTCCTGGACCAGACCAGCATCTTCGCCCAGGTGGATGCGTTTGTCCAACGCTGCAAAGACCTCTTGGAGGTAAGTGTGCGGTGACCATCTCTAGCGATCCATGTGTCAAGTTTCGAGGTCGTCAAACACCATGTTAGCTTCCAAGGGTTGACCTCTGCAATCCATCCATGCCTGCTGGCACCGTTGAGGTCCAGTCTTCTGCAGACCAAGAATGGATTGGCTGGATGGAGGGATCTCCAGCCTGGTGGACAGTTCCCTGTTCCTGCATCTTTTCCCATAATTCTCTGGGCCAGCTGGATTCGTGCCCAAGAGAGTAGATCCCAGGGAAGACGGTGATCGCAGCCGCTTCCTTCTCCTGGTAGGTGTGCGACAGCCAGCAACACTTCGCCCGCTGGGAAGACGGCAAACAGACCCCGCTGCCCTGTTTCTTTGGTCAACAAGGCCCTCAGATGACCCGCAGCTTGCTGGAGATCGAGGAGACCTTCAATAAATATCTCAACAACCTTCGGAACGTGAAGGGAGGAATTCTGGATGTGAAGAACACGACCTGGCATGAAGACTTCAGCCGGTGAGAAAAGTCTACTTCAACGAGAGAAGATGGGTTTTCCTATGGGTGTGGAGAATGGGAGCTCCATGGGACGTGTGCCATGGAGGTCCACCACGAGCTTCTTCTCCCTTCTTCTTGCGCCATCAGTTTCCGCGCAGGAGTCAAAGACCTGGAAGTCATGACCCAGAACTTGATGACTTCGGCCTTCGAGACGGTGAAGGATGTAGAACACGGGGTGCAGATTCAGGACATCTTCCAACATCTGTCATCCCGAGAGGTACACTTCTTGGACCAACAATGGCTGGCCTGGGGAGATGGGGGCAGCTGGTGGGAGGGGGGGGGGAGAAGGAAAGACAGGGCTTCCAAGAATGGCTGTCTATCGACGCTAAAGTGGCATCTGGTGGACCTGTGGTCCAGTTTTCTTAGCGAGCAGAAGGAGGGCTTGGACCTGAGATGGTCTTTAGGTCTCCTGATGGATGCTTGGAAGGGTTGAAGCAACTTGACAATGGGTAGACTTCAATTCCCAGAATTCTGGGAATTGAAGTCCATCCATCTGAAGCAGGGAATTTTGGGAGATTGTGTCCACCTATCTTAAGCGTGGAATTCTGGGAATTGAAGTCCATCTATTTTAAGCAGGGAATTCTGGGAGTTGAAGTCCATCCATCTGAAGCCTGGAATTCTGGGAGATGGTGTCCACCTATCTTAAGCGTGGAATTCTGGGAATTGAAGTCCATCTATTTTAAGCAGGGAATTCTGGGAATTGAAGTCCATCTATTTTAAGCAGGGAATTATGGGAGTTCAAATCCATCCATCAGAAGCAGGGAATTCTGGGAGATGGTGTCCACCTATTTTAAGTGTGGAATTCTGGGAGTTGAAGTCCATCTATTTTAAGCAGGGAATTCTGGGAACTGAAGCAGGGGTGAAATTCAAATTTTTTCCCTACTGGTTCTGTGGGCGTGGCTTGGTCGGCATGGCAGGGGAAAGATACTGCAAAATCCCCATTCCCTCCCCACTCCTGGGGGAAGGATACTGCAAAATCTCCATTCCCACCCCACTCTGGGGCCAGCCAGAGATGGTATTTGCCGGTTCTCCGAACTACTCAAAATTTCCACTACCAGTTCTCCAGAACCTGTCAGAACCTGCTGAATTTCACCCCTGAACGGAAGTCCCATGCATCTTAAGCAGGGAATTCTGGGAGTTGAAATCCACCCATCCTGAAGTTGCCGAGGTAGAGCTAGAATGTCTTAGCCCAGCCTCTTCCAACCTGGACTTCAACTCCCAGAATCCCTTGGCCGGGAAGGGAATTCTGGGATCCTGGAAGGGCCCTTTGGTCTAACCAAAGCAACCAATCTCCTCAGTTGTGAGATCCACGTGAGCGCAAGAGAGAAGTGAGGAACATGGTGGTAGCAACCAGAACAGTCTTCTCAACCTTGATAGCTTGAAGATGGCTGGACTTCAACTCCAACATGGCTGGTTGGGGAATTCTGGGAGTTGAAGTCCACCCATCTCCAGGTTGCCCAGTCTCGAAAACACCAGGTTCAAGGAATAGAAGAGAGCTGGTAGGGACCTTGGAGGTCTTCTAGTCCAGCCCTCTGCTCAAGCAGGAGATCCTATCCCGTTTCAGACAAAGGGCTGTCCAATCTGTTCAATCCAGCACCCACAACTTCTGGTGGCAAGCAGTTCCACTGGTTAATTGTCCTCCCTGTTAGGAAGTTCCCCAGGTTGCTTCTCCCCTTGATTAGTTTCCATCCGTTGCTTCTTGTCCTGCCCTCTGGTGCTTTGGAGAATAAATTGGAAAGAAACCCAACTTAGATTGGAAGCTGGGGAGATGCAGGAGGACCTGATAACAGAACGGAAGGACAGAGTTAGAAGGGGCCTTGGAGGTCTTCTAGGACACCTTTCGCTCCCTTGACCTGTCCCAACCGGTGTCTTCTCCTTCCTTCAGGCCATCAAGCGAACCTTCGACAAGAAGACGGTGGACGTTTTCATGCTCTTCAACCGGGAGCTATCCCTGGTCAACAAGGAACTCAGCAAGAAGGCCCCATTCCTGACGCCATACATGTGTCATTATTCAGGCATGGCCCACTGGATGCGCGCGCTCCGGCGGCGTGTGGACAGACCCATGAAGGTATGGCTGATGCTTCTAAAAGGCTGGGTCGGAGACTGGTCTGAGGGCATCTCCCATAGCTTTCCAGCGTGGCTTCTCCTGAGCTTCTGGTTCAGTTGGGTGGCCATCAAGAGAACGGTGAAGATATTTTAAAGGGAGTCCTTGACTTACGTTGGAGACTAGGCTGAAGGCATCTCCCATAGCTTCCCCGCGTGGCTCTTCCTCAGCTCCTGGTTCAGTTGGGTGGCTAGGGAGTCCTTGACTTATGTTGGAGACTAGGCTGAGGGCATCTCCCATAGCTTCCCAGCATGGCTTCTCCTCAGCTCCTGGTTCAGTTGGGTGGCTAGGGGTTCCTTGACTTATGTTGGAGACTGGTCTGAGGGCATCTCCCATAGCTTCCCAGCATGGCTTCTCCTCAGCTTCTGATTTGGTTGAGTGGCCATCAAGACAATGGTGAAGCTATTTTACAGGGAGTCCTTGACTTATGTTGGAGACTAGGCTGAGGGCATCTCCCATAGCTTCCCAGCGTGGCTTCTCCTCAGCTTCTGGTTTGGTTGAGTGGCCATCAAGACAACGGTGAAGCTATTTTACAGGGAGTCCTTGACTTATGTTGGAGACTAGGCTGAGGGCATCTCCCATAGCTTCCCAGCATGGCTTCTCCTCAGCTCCTGGTTCAGTTGGGTGGCTAGGGAGTCCTTGACTTATGTTGGAGACTGGTCTGAGGGCATCTCCCATAGCTTCCCAGCATGGCTTCTCCTCAGCTTCTGATTTGGTTGAGTGGCCATCAAGACAATGGTGAAGCTATTTTACAGGGAGTCCTTGACTTATGTTGGAGACTAGGCTGAGGGCATCTCCCATAGCTTCCCAGCGTGGCTTCTCCTCAGCTCCTGGTTCAGTTGGGTGACTAGGGGGTCCTTGACTTATGTTGGAGACTAGGCTGAAGGCATCTCCCATAGCTTCCCAGGGTGGCTTCTCCTCAGCTCCTGGTTCAGTTGGGTGGCCATCAAGACAACGGTGAAGATATTTTACATAAAGATGGGGCAGAACTCCCTTCATAAATGTCTCGCTTAGCAACAGAAATGTCATTGACATAAGTCGAGGACTTCCTGTATTGGACAGGGCCCCGTCAGGAAATCCCAAAGGTGCCGATTAGATCAGGAAGGGGGAACAAGCGACAAATGCAAAGCGTAACAAATGATTTTATCTGAATATCAAACCTTCTGACAAGCTTTGGGAAGCCGAATTTTAATGAACCACTGAGTGATTAACGACGCAACTGCAGCGACACACTTAACAACGGTGGCCAGAAAAGTTGTGAAAGGGGGCCAAAACCCACTTCACAAATGGCTCGCTTCGCAATAGAAATGTCGGGCTCCGTGTGTGCGGTCGTAAGTCGAGGAAATTACCTGTAAATAAGATTGTGGCTTCCCGGTGCTCTGGGCGTTAAAAACAGGGTGGAAAAATCCTTCTTCGTTTCCACCGACCAGCAAAATAACAACAACAACAACAAGAAAAAGAAAAAGAGGAGGAGGGAGAGGAAGAGGAAGAGGGAAGAAGAGGAGGAGGAGGAGAAAAGAAAGAAGGGAGAAGAAGAGGAGGAGGAGGGAGAAGGAGGAGGAGTAGAGAAAGAAGAAGAGGGGAGGAGGATGGAAGAAGAGGAGGAGGAGAAGAGGAAGAAGAAGGAAGAAGAGGAGGAAGAGGAGATGAAGAAGGAGGAGGAGGAGGGGGAGAGGAAGAAGAAGTAGAGGAGGAAGGGAGGAGGAGGAAAGAAGAGAAGGAGAAGAAGGAGGAGGAGGAAGGAGGAGAAAGAAGGGGAGGAGGAGGAGAAGGGAAGAAGAGAAGGAGGAGAGGAAGAAGAGGAGGAGGAAGAAGGAGGAGGAGGAAGAGGAGGGGAGAAGGAGAGGAAGAAGAAGAGGAGGAAGAAGGAGGAGGAGGAAGAGGAGGGGAGGAGGAGAAGGAAGAGGAGGAGGAAGAGAAGAAGAGGAGGAGGAAGAAGGAGGAGGAAGAGGAAGAGGAGGGGAGGAGGGGGAGGAGGAGGGGAGAAGGAGGAGGAGGAGGAAGGAGGAGGAAGAGAAGGGGAGGAGAAGGGAAGAAGAGAAGGAGGAGAGGAAGAAGAAGAGGAGGAAGAAGGAGGAGGAGGAAGAGGAGGGGAGGAGGAGAAGGAAGAGGAGGAGGAGAAGGAAGAAGAGGAGGAGGAAGAAGGAGGAGGAGGAGGAAGAGGAGGGGAGGAGAGGAGGGAAGAAGAGGAGGAGGAGGGGAGAAAGAGGAGGAGGAGAAGAGGAGGAAGAAGGAGGAGAAGAAGGGAAGAAGAGGAGGAGAGGGAGGAGAGGAAGAGGAAGAGGAGGGGGAGAAGGAGGGAAGAAGAGAAGGAGAAGAAGAAGGAGGAGGAAGAGGAGGGGGAGGGGGAGGAGGAGGGGTGTGAACCAGTGTCAACATCTGGCTGACTGTACGATTAATTACAATAAGAATAACAATAGGAACAATAATAATGGAAACCCCACTTCGGTCTTTGTTTATGGCCATCGTGGCTGTTCGCGATTCATTCCTTTTCGTTTTTTTCTTTTTTTTTCCCCTTCTCCTTTTCGGCTCTTTACCTGAATAACCTCCTCCTTCGCTGGTTCCTTTTAGCAGCTTTAATTATACGCCAGGAGAGAAACAACCTGGCATTCCAGCCGTCAATCAAACGCCAATGCCCCCCCCCCTGCATGCCTCCCCCCCCCGTCCTCTCCCGGTGCCCACTCGAAAATGGAAAATAGACAAATTGGCGAAAAACAAAATGGTTTCCTCCGAAGGTCCTGGAGGAAATTTTCCCTCAGGAGGGCGAGAATGTTTTTTTTTTTTTTTTATGCCCTCGCTGGCTGGCTTGGAGTGCAAAAGAAGCACTTTTCCGGCTTTAATGTTAGCGGCGCGTGGTGGGAGATGTGCCCGGCCTTTGAAACGCAGGCGGTCCTCAGACTTACGACCGCAATTGAGCCCCGTCACTAAGCGAGACATCGGTGAAGAGACTTACGGCCTTTCGTGCCACGGTCGCTAAGGGAAATCGCCGTGGTGGTTCAGCGAGTGACGTGGTTGACAGCAAGTGCCGTCGTAACTTGGAACGGTCGCTAAGTGAATGATGATGAGCCCAGGGCTATCTTACAGGTCGTTGTGAGGTCCTTGGGGGGTCCCTGAGCTCGGTGTTTTGTTTGGAGACGTTTCACAACCCAGCTAGGTAACGTCATCAGCGCTGGAAGGGGGTGGGATGTGTGAAGTGGAGTAAGGAGAAGGGGAGGAGGAGGAGGAGGAGAAGGAGGAGGAAGAGGAGGGGGAGGCCGCTCACCTCCATCTTATGAACTAAACGAGGTCACGGAACTGACCGCACAACTCTATTTCACCATTGATGGAGGAAGGGTCTTAAGAGGTCATCCAGCCTAACCCCCTTTACGCTGCAGAATTCACACCATCTCCCATACTGCGCTATTCAGTGACCATTCAGCCTCAGTTTGAAAACCAGCGGGGAAGGGAAGAAATGCCTCTCTGTCAATCATTGATTGGATTGACAGCTCTTCCTGTCAACAAGACCTCCCTAATATCTCATCTATTGATCCCTCATCTCATTCCTTCTCATCTTACTCTCTGGAGCAGGTGAGAAGGAGCTTTCTCAACCTTAGCAACTCTTAAGACAGGTGGACTGCAACCCCCAGAATTCCACACTTACTGTAAGATGCTTAGACTTCAACTCCCAGAATTCCACACTTAAGGTCCACGTTTAAAATGGAGGGACTTCAACTCCCAGAATTCCACATTTAAGGCGAGTGGATTTCAACTCCCAGATGTCCACGTTTAAGATTGATTGACTTCCAGCTCCCAGAATTGCACACTTAAGATGGGAGGACTTTCAGCTCCCAGAATTCCATGCTTATAATTAATGGACTTCAACTCCCAGGATTCCATTCTTAAGACAAGTGCACTTCAACTCCCAGAATTCCACACTTAAGATGAGTGGACTTCAACTGTCCCAGATTTCCATCTTTAAGATGGAGGGACTTCAACTCCCAGAATTCCACACTTAAAGCGAATGGGATTTCAACTCCCAGGATTCCATGCTTAAAACGGATGGACTTCAAATCTTCCAGAATTCCCTGCTTAAGATAGGTGGATACCATCTCCCAGAATTCCATGCTTTAGATGGGAAGACTTCAACTCCCAGAATACCATGCTTATGATTAATGGACTTCAACTCCCAGGATTCCATGCTTAAGACAAGTGCACTTCAACTCCAGGATTCCACACTTAAGATGAGTGGACTTCAACTCCCAGAATTCCACATTTAAGGCGAGTGGATTTCAACTCCCAGGATTCCATGCTTAAAACGGATGGACTTCAACTCTCCCAGAATTCCCTGCTTAAGATGGATGGACTCCATCTCCCAGAATTCCATACTTTAGATGGGAGGACTTCAACTCCCAGAATTCCATGCTTCAAATGGACGTACTTCAAATCTCCCAGAATTCCCTACTTAAGATAGGTGGACACCATCTCCCAGAATTCCATGCTTTAAGTGGGACAACCTCAACTCCCAGAATTCCATTCTTAAGACAAGTGCACTTCAACTCCCAGAATTCCATTCTTAAGACAAGTGCACTTCAACTCCCAGAATTCTACACTTAAGGCGAGTGGATTTCAACTCCCAGGATTCCATGCTTAAAACGGATGGACTTCAAATCTCCCAGAATTCCCTGCTTAAGAGGTGGATACCATCTCCCAGAATTCCATGCTTTAGATGGGGGGACTTCAGCTCCCAGAATTCCATGCTTAAAATGGACATACTTCAAATCTCCCAGAATTCCATGCTTAAAATAGGTGGATACCATCTCCCAGAATTCCATGCTTTAGGTGGGACGATTTCAACTCCCAGTATTCCACACTTCAAATGGACGTACTTCAAATCTCCCAGAATTCCCTGCTTAAGATAGGTGGACACCATCTCCCAGAATTCCATGCTTTAGGTGGGATGACTTCAACTCCCAGAATTCCATGCTTCAGATATGTATGGACTTCAACCATGGTGCTCTTTCCTTCTCTCTCTCTCTCTCATGCCCCCATGCCTATGCAATGCTCATAACCATTCCCCATTTGGTTTTACGGGCTGTGCCTTCTGGGTGTTGTGATCCCAAGCATCCGAGGCGATCGGGTTGCCTGCCCCTCTGCGGA